TTTTTTTGGAAATTATAGTCTCATTTAAAAACTATTTAGTAAAAAAAAAACCGATTTTAAAGCAAGCATAACCTCCGCAAGAGAGGATTATTAATTAGTATAGACCATAAAAGGGATCGCTTGACAGCGAGCACTGTTTAAGAGAGTTCAGTCTAAAATAAAGATAATGAACTCATGTCATACCTACCATATTGCTGGTAGCAGCGATCTCGTTCAGTACGCAATAGCAGTTTCAATCGCAATCAATGTTACTTACAATTTGGGCCATTAACAATTGAACCACTATGGCAGCTAAGGTAAAGAAATAACACACAAAAGGCCACAACGGCCAGTGACAATTGAAAATTCCGCACACGTTTCACACAAAATTAATAAAAAAAAAAAAAAATTAAAAACAAAATGAATAATAAGCGACTGGCGTACTCGTTACAATGCGAGTAAATAACAAGCGTAGAAAACATAATTGAATGCAAAGAAATCGAGGCATGCGATAAAGAGCGAAACGGTAAAAGAAAAGCACGAAATGCCGGAGACCATAAACGTTATGTTAAGCAATCGAGGCTTGCTAAGCTGCGCTTGTATTCCGCCACCGACAGCCAGCTGAGCAGACGCCAAAGAATGCGATTTCTTTTTTCTACGAGTATTTACCTGTTTTGCTTGCCGTTCATTATATAGTCATTTTTTGTTTTTTTTTTTTATTTGTCGACTTAATAATAGCGAATGCCGCAACACAACAGAAAGCTGAAAAAGAGCATGCGCGCGCGATATGGCAACACTGCATTGCAACAACACACAGCGCATCGCGACAAACAGCTGTGCAGCTTGCACATGCGCGATTTTCGTTGGGCGGGTGCAACCATAAATAACCGCTTGACACGCAAGGCAGCCGCGATAAAAGTGAAAGAAGCACCAGGACGTACGCTGAAACCGAATATGTGCCGTGGAGTTAGGCGCACACGCGCATCTTCGGAAAAGTACCAAAAGTAGCAAGATCAGATCAAAAATATCGCGTTTATGCCACAATAATACAAAATGCAAACAACAAGTTTCGAGCGTGTCTACAAAGGCAAAGGGGGAAACTTCACAAGACATGGCAGTCTGCACATGCGCGCAACTTGTTTCGAAAACCAAACAAAAAACAAACTCAAAAACTTTACCTTGCATTGATTGTGCGGCGTTTAATTTGAATTTACAGGAGCAGCCACTGCTGACGATGGCTCCAGCCTGTCGCTCGCTTTCGAAAACGTGCCGCCGTCTCGAAATTTACACTAAAGGTCACTTTCTATATTCTTTGCGCGCCTTTCTCCGCCCGCCCTCTGCACTTTTTGCTTGATTTTTTTCGAAAACACTATTTTTCTTTTAATTTATGCTGCGCGTTTTTATTGTATTCTAGAGCAAAATTTATGCAAAACACATAGCCGAGTTGTCACTTTTAATCTGTGTGTTTTCTCTTTTTTTGATACGCATGTATTTTATTTCCTCATTTCTATTATATTATATATTCGCACGAGAGCAAAAACAAAACACAATAATCGCTATGCGTTCGCACTCGCCAACGTACGTACACACACACGAACACGCTTGATCGCCACGGCCCGTCTAGTTCCACTGTCGACGAAGAAAGACACGTCCGCTTGCTGCTAGGTACCGCACTCAACTGACCAACTAGTCTTTTAGCTTTCAACGCTCTTGCGTCTAACGAGTAGTCGGTTGGAGCTTATGAAGAAATGATTATAGGTTAACGCGAGCTTTAAACTCGTTTAGCGTCAGCTTGGAGCTTCGTATATGTCTTACAGTGAAGCTTGCCTTGTGGGCGGTTTAGGCTTTCAAAGCTAACAGTTACACGATCACTGGGCACAGCACTTTGTTTATTATGTTCTACCATTTTATTGAAAACTTTGTATGAGCTTTTTTTTTTTTTTTTTTTTTTTTTTTTTTTTTTTTTTTTTTTTTTTTTTTTTTTTTTTTTTTTTTTTTTTTTTTTGTTTTGAGCTTCACAGTGTTATGAAAAAGACTAGTGCAGGTTAAACAGATAAAGTTCAACTTGAAATGATAAACATTTTAACGAAAATTTGAAATTGATTTAATCGTAAACGTAGAAGGCATCGTTACAAAGTGATCTGGTGAGCAGAAGTTCTTTGTTTTTTGCATTAAATTAAAATTAAATATGTAGCATTTTAATACAAAGTTTGCTGCCATTTTAAGGATAATTTCATAATGATACTCGCATGGAAACCATCTTCCTTATTTGCTGCTGGGCAGTTGATTCTCCAAGCAAAATTTTCATCTTCACATATTCGCCACGAACAGAAACATGTAGTAATCACTTGGTACCAGATTCAAACTAGAATGTGGATGTGTAAGGACCTACCAAACTAGCTCTTGCAGCTCCTGGCGAATTCCACTCAATGCGTATGGCCTGGCTTTGCTCGGATTGATTACAATTTCTGTCCTATTGGCTAAAGCTGACCACTAATTGGCGATTACTTCTTTTAGAACGTCCAATTTTGTATAGTACAAGTCTGGTTTAAGAGTGTGACTGTAGCGGAGCAGCATATAATAATAATAATAATACCCAACGATTACCCTCCTCCCGCCCAACCGACGCGCGGGGCGCAATCCGCGAACGAGCGGAATTAGCCGAGTCATAAAAGTCAAGGGAGTTTTAAGCGTTGCGATCTTAAGCTGCTCAGCTACAGAAACAAAAATTTCAACAGCCAAAATTAAGAATTAGATTAAAGTCTATAATTTTAAAATGTTACTTATTAAGAGTAGATAAAATAACTTATTTAATGGTAAAGAGTGAATCTGTTAGATCAAATTGTGCTGGAGTGAGAATTGAAATCGTGACATATACGGCGGAATGGTTCGTTTAACTCGAAATTTGTTCTAGAAAATTTTAAAATTAAAGGTCTAAACTGCCTGGTAGAGCGAGCGGGAATGTTAAAATTAATATTAGACAAGAGAGATGGGCTACAGGCTGACCCATTGATGAGTTTTATAAGAAATATTATACCAAGCATTTCCCGACGACTAGTGAGTGTAGGGAGATTTATAAGCTTTAAACGGTTAGTATAAGGGGGAAGATTTAAATTGGAATCCCAATGCAAATAATTTAAGGCAAAAAGTAAAAATTRTTTTTGAACGGACTCTATTTTCTCAGAATGAACTTGATAACAACGGTTCCATACCACGGAATCATACTCTAATATAGGCCTCACCAAAGATGTAAAAAGAATTTTTGTAGTAAGCGGATCTCTAAATTCTTTAGACCAACGTTTAACAAGACCAAGAGCACCTTTAGCTTTAAAAACCATGGAAGRTRTRYGARGATTAAAATTGAGTTTGGGGTCCATAGTTACTCCCAAGTCAACAAAACTGCATACTTGCTCCAACCTAAAGTTTTGTATTACGTATGAAGTAGGGTCTACGTGAAAAGCACATCGTTTTACATTTTTTAAGGTTCAATGGCATGTCATTTCTAACACACCAAGAAGCTAGGTTGTTTAAGTCTGTTTTCAACTGACATCTTGCGCTATTCGAGGTGAATGATTTAAAAAGTTTTGCATAAAACTTTTGAAAACTTAACAACAGATGATATTAATGACAATAAATAACAAGAACAGAATTGGACCAAGATGGCTGCCTTGAGGAACGCCTGAAGGAACATTGTTTATGTCGGAAAGAGTATCGTTAAATATGACTTGTTGAAWTYTATTACTAAGGTAAGAAGCAACCCATTTTAGAAATATTGGTTGAAAACCAAGAAGATCAAGTTTATTCAAAAGAATTGAATGGTTTACTTTATCAAAAGCTTTACTAAAATCTGTGTATATAACATCAGTATTCTTATTCTCCCTAAAACCCGTTGATACATGAGAAATGAAATTCAAGCAAATTAGTTATTGTAGATTTCCTTTTACGAAAACCGTGCTGAGAACAAGAAATTAGTGGAGAGATCCGGAAGGTTATGTCGTCTGTTAAAATTGCTTCAAAAAGTTTAGGTATTGCAGACAACTTTGCTATTCCCCTATAGTTTTCAATAGATGACCTAAATCCACTCTTATGTAAAGGAATTATAAATGACTTTTTCCATATGGATGGAAATAAGCCTTGCATAAGAGGTGATTTCCTCTCATTCCCACAAAACACATAGCAAAAACTTCCTGCCCACCAATCCTGGCTTTTCCCCCGTTTCCTCCTTTCACGGCGTTTCGAACACGACCGTTTTCGCTTGACGTTGTCATAATTGATCCAATTCTCAGCAGCTGTAACAATCCGCTTTAGAATTGGAATCAATATCGTTGCGATATATTATATGTTTAGCTCTCTTTCAAGAGCGGAGGGAGAACTTTCCTCTATTGTTTGAACTTCTACACATGAATTCATCCTTCACTTCGTATCTACTCATATTTAAATGATTTCAAATGGTTCTTTGTGCCGAGCTTAGCTCCTCGGAAAACGAAATAATGGTGACATGACATCATTTTTTTTTTTTTTTCAATATTTTCGACCTTTAAACAATACTGAGTTCAGCAATCAGAAAAGGGTCTCAGAGGCTGCCCCAGTTAAGCCATAATAAGGTTCCTTCATTCTCCAGGGTGTTAATCACAATAAGCCATATCTAGCAACTCAGTGTATTTGGTAGCACAACAGATTATTTTCAACCAACCTCCGCGGGTTCTGCATTCCGCTGTATCCACTTTTCCCATTTTCTGAAGGATAGCTACCATTTGCCAGCAAGTTTTTATTTATTTTTAATAGGGGGAAACTTCAAAGATACCGTCATTTGTCTGAACGGTATGTTCGATTCGTATTGACCTATAAAGATACACCTCCTTTAGGAAAACGCCCAAGCAATGAGCCTACGCACTAAACCCTTAATTCTATCATTATTGCTCGCATTCGGCCCACGGGACTGCCAAACATTAGTCATTCGGCTCTTCAGTCATGCATTTTCGCCCTAAGTCCGGTTAATCCTTCTGTTTTCGTTGTCTTGTCAATATTTCCTCCTTAACTCTTGCATAGTTATAGCACGCTCTTAGTCTGTCTCAGATCACCTTCGATTGGATCATGTAAGACCGATATTCTCCGGCAACACTGGATCATTTATCAGTTTCTCTACTTCAAAATTCTCTTTTTATACTTTGAGCTGATGCAGAAGTAGCAACGTGTTTCGTCATTATGTGCATATTTGGAGAGATATTCTCAATAACAATGGTGTTCTCTTAAAACCTGATAAGACAAGTTTTATTGAATACTCGCTTAACTTCTGTGGCCATTATGTTTGGTAGCATGTGAACTGCTATGGCTCCAGCCGCCTGATGTGATTCAGTTCAGTAGACACATAAAACCCTGATTGCACTTAGTCGGATTATTGACTTCGCATATTTCTGCTACAGCGCTGTCCCCCATGTACGTGAAGCGTACATAAGTATGGACTGACTTACTTTGGTCACAAGGACTCCTCTACTCTGGATTCACCAATGTTAGTCATTAACCTCGTTAGCGCCGCTGTCATTATTGAGGGTTTTCCACAGGCTTTATGAGTGTATGGAAGACATCTTTTGGTCTGTCCACCGTCAGCACCACCCCGAAGTAATTTTTTTGCCCTGTGCTGCTTGTGTTCCAAAACCTGAGGTGTCCCTTTATTTTTATCTATTATTTCTACTAATCCTCATCATTTTAAAGTATATTATACAGTAACTTCCAATGGACTCCTGGCAAAGATCAAAGGTACCCTTGTAATAAAAAGTGCGATTTTGTAAACTTACACATTTTATTGGATGTTTAAATTATATATTCCCTTCGAACCGCTCACCTACTTTTGAACTTTTAAGTGGCTTGACTCCTAACTACCGCCGATACAACTATACCCTTGAGCTAGTGACAGTGCAATTGAGTTTAAACATACTTTCCTCGATAGTGCCATTTAAAAGCGCAAGCGAAAGTTAGTTGGAGCAACATTGATGTATCGTTCTCCACGTGCAAAATGCTTGCTTACGCTTGTACACGCTTAGCATGGGTGTTTTAACTCCATATTCTATATCTCTAAGCTATAACGGTGACAAATTCCTGCAATGTTGCATCAAACAAGTACATAAACACACCACATCTACGCCGAAATGTAGCAGAATGAACCCTGCAAAAAATGCGATCAGTCTGCGACTAGTCCGCGATTAGTCGTACTTTAGACGTTCGAAACGCTGTTATTAACGCGAGATGGGCGGACATCATCGACGCTTATGAAAAAATTAGTAACAGAAAACTGCTGTATCAGACTAGAGATGGATCACGACAAATAGAAGTTATGTCGGGGGCAGCACAAGGGTCCATTTTATGCCCAGGCCTGTGGAACATTAGTTATGTTGGAATACTAAAACTGGAAATGCCAAACGTATCATATTTAGTAGGTTACGTGGACGACATAGCCACAGAAATCACAGCCCGAGACACAGAGAAAGCTCATCTGAATCAGGTCATGATACGATCGCAAAAATGGATTGGCTCACATAACCTAGACAAAAGGCTTGTCCTCAGATTAAACTTTTAGGTAAAAATCCAGTACGCCGTAGGAAAGACAGCGAAAATCACCTCCTGCCTTAGCAAACTAATGGAGGACTCACATAAGGAAAGAGAAAGCTCTTAACGTCAACAACCACCAGCGTCTTACTATGCGGAGTAGAGATTTGGACAGATATGCTAAAAAATAAATACGTAAGGCCAGCAGTGTAGTCATAAGTGGCAATGCTCCCCTTTGACCTTTTAGCGCACGAAAGAAAAAAGCTGTGGGAGCAATTGAAAAAATAAAGAAAGCCACGACACTCGCAAGGCAACGATGAAGGGAGCATGAGAGTCGTGGCAAATGTAATTATAACAGATTTAAACTCATTGACAAGTCGTAAATGTGGAGAAATCGACTAGACACAACAAAACTACTATCCGGATATGGATATTTCTGAAAATATCTTCGTAGATAGATAAAGTCAAAGAGCCATCATGCGGTCCGATGGCCGATGGTTCCATAGAGGAGGGTTTTTACTGACCTAAAAGTGGCACGTACCGGCTGTGTTAGGCATTTTTCGCTCCCTCACCACAAAGCCTACGAAAAGAGATTAACCGCAAATCTGTTCTATGCGAACATTGAAGACGAAGCTATACAAAGATTCAACCCACTAAAGCTATTCTTCGAACCAACTAATACCTAACTGTAATACAAAGATATGCCTAATTCATTCATAATTTTATCCTGTAGAGAGTAGTACGGGGTGTAGGCTCTTTTAAGAGTTCTCCCCCGAATTTTTGGCATGGTTCGTATTAAGTTGCTTGCAAGTGTTTTGAGGTTGTTTTGTATATCCGATCATAAGTGTTGTGCGTGGCTTAACTAAAACTACTTGTACTTGCCGAACTTTTGCTCCCTCTTACAAATCCCCTACAGTTGGCGCCATCTTTATTAAGTTCTACATGCATAAATAAGTAACTCGCACCCTTCACGGTTTTGTGTTATTGGCGATACTCCGCCACTTTGCTGCACTGGCAATTGCTTTGGCAGCTTTGTATTTACAATAACAAAGTGCCTGAAGTGAAGGGATTTTAGCTGCACGACTTTTGCGAGCTAAATGTGCAATTCACTTCTTTCTGTGCCATTGTTATTAGTCTTTTTAAAATCGAAAGAAGTGAATCATTTTATAAAATCTCACTTAAGAGAGGTTGGGGTGGTTTCCTTGGTGGAATCTAAGAAAGGTCACTCAACCTACTCAAAAGAGTATAACCTAAAACCTTAAAACTTCCTTTCTGCAATTGACGCCAGAGAAAATCTTGAACGTACAAATCAAGGCCGCAGCATCACCTGGAATCAAGAGGCATAGACTAAAGCAGATCCGTAAAGACTGTACTCCATATACTGGTATGAATTAAAAATTAAAAAAGAAGAAATATTGAAGTATTCCTAAACATTTCTGAAGCACTTAATATGATTCTACTCAACCCATTCTGAATAATGCCAGGCAACAGTCTCGTGAGCTCAAGAAGGATGAAAGCAGAAGGGACCGACGATAAAACAACCAAGCAAGTCTATAGAGGCACTTCGTAGGATGGAGTGCTCCCTACATCGCCATGCACAATAGTTCTTAAGAAACTGTTACAGAACTTAGATGGCAAAGCCTCCACGATTGGTTGAAAAAAGCGAGTCTGGGGTTGGATCCGAAGAAAACGAATTGACTTGTTTTCACTAAAAGATAAAAAATCCCTCCATGTTGTGGAAGAAACAACCAGAAATTCTTGCCATGTCTTATATGCATGTAAGCAGATGCCCTATTGTAAGGAAAATTTTGCTCTACGGTGCAGTAGTTTGTTGGCGTGGCTTATGGAAATCCACTTACCGGAATTCAACAATTCGCTGCGTTGTGCACAGTAAGAGCTCTAATAATGAATTCAATGACAGCTCCTGAACTATTGCTCGACTTGCCACCTATAGATCTCTTCACTGAAAACTGAGTTGGAAAAAAGAGGCGAGAACTACTTGCTACAGGACAATTGACATACAGAACCTTCCGGCATAGCTCAGTGGGTAATGGAGCTGCACCTTAACATATTTTCTACCTGAAATATATGAAACATTTAGACGGAGAATTGAGGAAACAGTTTGCGCAGCCAACACTGCAGCTTATTTCAAATATAAATCTTTGCTATTGGGAAAGCCACGGAACTTTTAACACACCGGCAGGTAACTACAGAGTTAACGTCTACCTTGACAGCCAAGCAGGCCATAACCTCGTTTCGCTTAACAGCCAAAAGTGACTTCTGAAGCAAAGTAGCAGTTGAGAGTGTCGCCAGGTACAAGCAATTTAACTTTTCCAGGGTGCCAGATCAAAAAGGCATAGTGGGTAATGAAATAGTGTCCGAAATTGCCAATAGTGGTGAACAGCTGTTACTCAAAATTGATAAACGAATTCATTGATAATACGTCAATTTGGACAGAAGCATGAAAATTAAGGTCAAAACGAGTTGAAACAATACTCCAGGAGCAAAACTACAATAGTCATTTGCTAAACAGTAGATTTCAAATACCATATATAAACTTTCTACAGGTACTCGATAGAAGAGACTTTAAGCAAATATGAAGGAACATAATTGGAATACTCACTGGTCACGGTCTTGTGGCGGAATACGCCGCAGAATTGATAGAATCTGATAGGGTGTGTGATACTGAAAAAGGTATCGTTGGTAAGACCACAAAGTCGATTGACATTTCCTTGACGAAGGCAACCTAAGGGAAAAGTTCTTCCCATAGACTACTTAACAGCACTCCGTTTCGTATCACGAAATACCAAAACTAGTCAATGCTAGCTCATTAGCCTACTAGACAAGTCTAATCTATCCATTCCTTTATTTAATTTATTTTTTTTTTTGTTTTTTTTTTTTTTTGTTAGCTTATATACATATGTACATACATAGATCTAAGGATTGAATTATCTTATGGTGTAGTCACGCAGTAGAGGCAATCATTCGCACTGTACGTAATTTTTTCGATGCTATATCTCATACCTACCGCATTATCTCTTTAATTGTTTCCGTTATCTACAAAAATTGCAAATTAATTGTCAACAAATTAATGCCTAATTGCTTAACATAATGCAAACAGATTAATTTACGAGCATACAGGTTTGTGAGAGATAAGAGTTATCTCATAAACACTTACAGCTGCCCTCTAAATGACGAAACTATATTAGATACATATAAATTACAGAATATAATAACACTATGCGGCAAAAACGAAATTTGTCTTGTTATTGCACCAAATTATTAGTCTCTAGAGATTGAGTCCAAGGAAAAAACATAATTTCTGGTTTTTCGAAGTTAGCCTGCAAAATCGGAACACTTGACTTCTTAAACACTAAAAAATAAAAGTATGTATGTATGTACCTGATCTACCCTTTCCTCTTTTTAATAGGGGCTAGTAGTTGTACGTCAGACTTATATGACCGATGCGGGAACAAGTGAAAGTTCGATATTCGGATTAAATATTTTGAAAAGTACTAGTCTGATTTATGACGAAGCACACTCATTGTCTTAAAATGCGTGATTAGTATTAGAATTAGACAATTTTTGAAAAATGTAAAAAATGCAGCTTTTTTGAGAGTTCAGATCACAGTCAGCCAGCGGGTGGACTGTAAATCGAAGAAACTTCGGAGTTGTTGACCAACGTTTGCCAAGCTCGCGAATGGTCCATATATCCAACGGCAGAGCGCAATAGGAGAGTATAATAATGAGTATAAGATTATAATATAGCATAAATTATTATTTATTTCAAATTTTTTGTACATTATATGTATATTAGCTGGATGTGCCAAATATTTAAAGTATTAATAATTGAATGCGTTCCACAGGTATATACCGATTTATTGCGCCGAATCCAGCTCTTTGCTATAAGAGCTTGCATCGCTACAATCGACACCTTCGTCCCGCTCATTGCCATGCAATTCGCTGTTGACTTTCACTTTATCACCTAACGGTTGAATCCGAAGCTTGGTAACATCGCTACTTTCTCGTGCAGCAGGTTTACAACAAAAACTCCGAGTAAGCGCGTCCGTTTTATTTATCCAAAAGCTGCCACAGCACGTGGATTTCGACGCTAGCAGGGATGCAGCACCATCCTCACCCAATCCAGCAGAGCTTGCCATTGGATACGTCGCGATATGCTGTTTGCTTTGATTACACAACCGAAAACTGCAAAATCCACTGCAAAAAGTAGTCTTAATAAAGTGCGCAAATTTTAAGATATCCGTTAGAAAGGTGTAAAAGAAGGGGTTCAGCATGGAATTGGTTAAGTTGAGAATGCCGAAAAAGTAATGCAAAATTATTGGAAAGCGGCCTGTATAAATGCCACCTATGCGCATTAACATCAAAATCCAGGTGGGTGAACGCAGAAAGAGAAAAGCAGTAATTAACAAAATGATAACGGTAAACATGCATAGATGACGTGTTTCACGATTGCTCCTGTTGCTCGTCTTAGTAGGCGCAGAGCTTGTAGTGTTCGTCGGAAAAGTAATGTTCGTATCGCTCGGCTCGCTTGGTTGCGGTATTTTGTTGTCGGTCGTGTTTATGCCGACTCCATTGGAAATAGTTAGGCAGCTGCTTGGCCGTACTCTCGAATCGATTGGATTCTCTTTTAAGTTCCGCTCGCCGTCTACACATTTTCTCAAACAGATGCAGTTGGGGTGTCTCCACCAACTTTTATGCTGTTTCTTACTGACTGTGGCAGCAGTGTGACGACTTTTCCACAATTGCTTCGCAATCACCGAGTTCATCCATATAAAAGCAATTATTGTGGGAATGAAAATGACGCCGAAAATTGCAAAGTAGTATATAGCGATAGATGACTGAAAATATATCAAGTTGGAGCAATATTATACAATATAAATAGGATATGTTAGAAGGTCTGGAATTCAACGAAAACAAACTTATAAGTTATGGAAGTTCCCGATGCAGGCGACTGGAAACTGCAAACATATACCGTATCTCTTGACTCTACAGTATAACTATATCTACTATCACTATATCCAATCTAAAAATTGGCAAAATCGGATCGTAACTGCTCAAGGCCCCTGTTACGGGGTATATAGACCCCAGTATTTATGAATTTATGTGTGTCAAAAATGGATTGAATCGGGTCAGTACTGCCCGTAGCCTCCCCTATACCATGCTTAATAGATGGACTTTCGAACTTTCGGTTGACTTTATATCGCAATCGGCCAATGTGAGCAATCTATTAACTTCTTCTTCTTTATTGTTGTATACACCGCTTATGGTAGCACGCCAATCATTCTTCCTTTTTCCTGTTTGACGCCGATGGGAGATTCCAAGTGTAGCTAGGTCTTTCTCTACCTGGTCCTTCCAACTCGGCTTCCCCTAGCGGGCACTGCGTCGAATACTCTCAGGGCTGGAGTGTTTTCATCCATTCGGACGACATCACCTACCAGCCAGCCAGCGTAGCCACCACCTCTTAATTCACTGAACTAAGTCTTTTTCCGCCGCAACGGTACTTTGCAGAGTGCGCGCATCGGCTGGATTCGGTAGAAAGCATTCCTAGCTAACGAACGAGTGACTGGTTGTCTCCGAAAAACTCCAGAGTCAGGCCATGTCCAAGTGCAAGCCGAAAGGCAGCGTTCGTTAGAGCAGAGGTACGCGATTAAATTCTGTGTGAAACTCAGAAAATCTGCGACAGAGACGTTTGATATGATCAAGGAGGCTTACCTTGATGTTGCCTTAGCAAGAAGTGGTGTGTTTCAGTGGCCCTAGGCCATTTTCGAGAGCCAGGAAGAGTTCAGTTGAGCAAATTGAAAGTGAAAACGATGCACATTGTTTTTTATGACATCAAAGGCTTCTTCCACCATGAATTTGTTCATATAGAACTTAGCGCTGCCTTACTTGTTTATCATATAACAAATAATATTGTTTCTATCAACAGTCAAATAATTTCGGGGAAAATTGAAAGTTGGCAGGACAATACAAAATTTCTTGACATTTTGCCTATTATCGATCAATTTCGAAAAAATATTGCGTTTTAGGTTGATGCGTGGCCTCATTTGTCGTCTGTGCCACTAATTAGGCCAGTCAATCGAATTGGCCGGCTGAATGACAGTTGTGGGTACATAGCTACCAACATATGTGCTCGCACAGGTGTGCTAGCATGAGCGCCCTCAATGCGCAACAAAGATAAATGCGAATTTTGGGTGCACGCCAGCGTCAGCAGTCACATTTCACACAAGCCAACGACACACACACACACACACATACACTATGGTTCCTTTGGTACACATTCCCGAAAATGGAAACGCTTGTAAAGCAAACACATACAAACCTACCTACCTGATTGGATATGCACATCATCACCAGCTCAGACGTCATCAGCATGGCGTAAGACTGATTGTTGTTGCCGGTGTGTTGTTCCCAAGCGCTTTTTATTACTGTTTCGGCAGAGGTTTCATATAACGTAGGCATAGATGTGTAAGATTCCGCTGCTGTTGTTGCTGTTGTTACAGTAGCTGAGCCGGCACTAGCAATTGTAGTGTTGTACGTGTTGGGTACAGGAATCCAGTGCCTCGTTAGTATGTGAACGGCGTGTAATTCATAGACACGAGACACCGGCCATGAAGTGCCAATGGCTGCTGCCCATAAGGCGAGCATGCTAAGCACACAGAAAATGACACCCGGATTCCAAAAACTAATTACCGCGCACATAACGGCAAAATAACGATCCATTGCTATGCCGACAAGCGTTATTGAGCTCACCAAAATCGCGGCAGTGGTGATGGAGGGCACCACTCGGCACATGCCGCTTCCAAGTAGCTGAAAAATCGAGCGAAGTAGCTTAAAATTGCAACATTTTTACTTCGAGTGCAAATAAATCGTATTTTATAATCCATATAGACGTGTGATTCACACCACTGACTTACCCAAACCTGCGAATATTCCTGTAATATTTGACTCAAATAGGCCATTGTGAGGAAGGTGGTGTTAATCAAATCGCTAATCGCCAGCGATATGAGGCAAGCACGAAAAAACGGCCGGAGTTGTCGTCGCATGTTCGCACGCAACGAGCAGATGTTGCCACATACCGAAATAATCAGCAACAACGACATAACAGTTGTGAGCGTGATACGTTCGGTGGCGGTCACCGTGATCAGATCCTCCTTGAATATGCCGATATATGACCCCAAGACGAATATTTTAGCTTCATTTTCTGCGCTGTTGTTCCTAAAGCCATCCGCCACTACCACTTCGTCATCATTAGCAAATCCCTGCGCTTCGCTTACGTTCAGCGTACTTTTAACGTGGCGTACGGCGTTTTCTATGAATTTTCGATTTTCAAACAAGCAAGCCATATTTTGTAACCAGAAATCGGTCTACTATGATGCCAAGTCTTTCGGTTTTGTGGGAATTGTCATTACGTAAATATGGAAAGAGTTAAATAACAAATTTATTAAGGGGATATTACTTGAATCTTTACAGTACTTCACAACCTCTTTGAGATGAAATAAAATTGGACCAGAGTTAGAAATTGAGAATGTTGAGGTTTCTTGCATTATTTTAGTCTAGCAGTTGAAAAACTATGAGACGGTCGAAATTCAGGTCAGCAAGTTATACTTTCCCAAAAGGAAATTTCGGAGACCTTACAGAGTACAAGTGTATATTTACATATCAATGACCAACGGCTAGAAAAGTTACTCAAACTTACTAATCGACCTTGCAGGCGAAAGCGCTGCAACAAAATCAACTTCAAGTTTGGCGGAGTTAAGTGAATTCTTCAAAAGAACCTTCGGGCATAGCACCATAAGCAGACAGTTGGTGGATAAAATAGACCACATACCCTGCCGCCTTATTTGAAAAAAAAAAATATTTTAAGTAACAATCAAAAAACCTCCCGGATTATCTTTCAAGCGGAATTCTCACAAATGCACCTGAGAACGCAGGAAACAACTTAAGGATATCAGTATACTTGTATAAGAACGTTGATAGCCAGGCCGCAATTAAGGAAATAATCTGACATCACTTCATCTCAGAGAGTGTCCTTATAAGCAGGAAGCCAGCAGTTTTAGCGACTGCATATGTAACGGGTTCCAGGCCACAATTCAATTTCGGAAAACCAAATAGCTGAAGATATTGCCAAAAGTGCCATCCGTCTGCCTAACGAAACTCTGCTGATAGTACGGAAGTTATTAAAACCGATAAACAATGACATTTCAGAAGAGGCTAACAGACTGATCAGGTCGAGATGGAATGCCATAAGGACATACAAAATCGTCAAGAGCGCTTACGAAAGCTCTGAAGAAAGTCGCATATAGTTTGTACACAAACGGTCTCCAAAGAACTGCATGACGGTATTGGCCTGTAGAGAGATCACAACTTACTGGCACCACAGGCTTAAATAACGACGATACAGCAGAAACTGCAGCGAAGTAGGCATCTGAGAGACGCTAAAACACTTGAGATAAAAGAGAGCTTGGTTTGGTCAAATTTTTCAAAATTTCAATTTTTGGTCATACTATAGGCTGGCCGACTTTAATCGCACTATTTGTGCAGAGTTTTATCACGATACGTTGCGAGGTCACTGGACTGAAGTCACAACTCAGGAAGAAGGTTCAAAGTAAACGTAGAAAAAGATGTCTGGCGTAAAGATTGCGCGTAGCTGCAACACTCAAATCGTCTGTACTGATGGCTCGAAAATGGTCGATGGAGTTGGTGCGCCAATACACTTTTCAGAGTTAAGGCAACCTTATAAGTCGCCGAACCGCCGCGAAGCTGACCTCTAAAGCAATTGCCGGCAATTCCGGAGTCAACATCTACGTTAAATGCCAAGCAGCAATCAAGGCAGTAACCTCGTATCGCACACCGGTTTAAGCTTATTTTCGACTTTTATCTACAACTGGACTTAGATATATAGAAGCTTCGCAGTTCAAGGGACTAGAATAGAAAATAGTTGAATAGAAATTTGATATATAAAACTTCGTAAAAATCGTTGACGTTCTTTATGACAAGCCATCTTCACGAATTTAGTTTCAAGACAGCACAACAACCTTCGAAGAATTTATTTTTTAGTACTGCTCTTCCTGTCTTAAGTAATCTGCTTTGTAAACTAATGATTCGATCGCACAAAAAAAAAAAAAAAAAAAAAATATTTAAAATCGCTTGATTTTCTTCCATCGCTAGTTGGTTTTCGATTATATGTTATGTAAATCTTGATATTAATAACATAAACGTTTTGTTTTTTTTCGAGCTTTTTTTCATAATCTGTTATAATCGGGTCTGCAAAACTATCTTTGAACATTCAACAGAAAAAAAACATTTAACAAACCAAACATTTTCCGACTCGAATATGGATTTTGTCCGTTTAAAAGCACCGTTGTGGATAAGCGGTAGTTGTCGACTGAAATAAACTCGTAGAATATTAATATAAATAGCCATACAGATGCTTAGCTACTACATAAATTTGTGATGTCGGCTCGTTAGAGTCTCTTGTGCGGAGATATATTAGTGATTTTTGACACAATCGCGATTAATATAGAATTGTGCCTTAATGATTGTTCGCTTATCAATTTTCATGCGTATTTAATCAGTCTTCTCGTCCGCAATCTAAATTGTTTATGAAAAAGCGAGTAACCTTGCAAAATCAATTAAAATGAAATAAGGTATAAGTTAGGTTAGGTTAAACTGGCCGACTGTCACGTCATATATAGACCCACAGGTCCTTTTTAATGACAGTTGGAGGTTCATTTCAATACGAGCTGAAGTTTTCGTCGAGCAGGACGTCAAATCTCTGTGCGTAGTTTAAAAGAGACTAGATATCTTATTCTAATACTTCATCCAGCTCCTTGAACTGTGAAGCTTCTTGATATCCAAGCCGAGTTCTAGATAAGGCCGGACTGAAGCGGAGTTTTAGCATCTGTATCTAGTCCTTTTTTTTGCACTTTCTATATATGTCATCCTTACTAACGACTAAGTGGTTCGCAGTGATGCCAGTAAGTTGTGACCTCCGACTAGGCCGATAACTATTCTACAGTCTTTTCGAGCCTGTGTGAGCAGAAGATTTGCGTTTCTTTGGAGCTTATGCACATGATCTTGACGATCCTGCATGTTCTTATAGCATTGTTTCTCGACCTGATCAGTCTATTCCGACCCTTTTGAAAAATTTTATTGTATATCGGTATTCTCCGTTCGGTAGCCAAACGAAAGGCATCTTTGACAATCTCTTCAGCTATTTGGTTTCTTTGTGGTCAGGAACATGTTTTGAATGCAGCCGCTACATCTACTGCTTTCCTACTCATTCGCTTAGTATTCAATCTCACCCTGATCTTTCGGATTGCTTTTATTGCCATTTGTCTCATATATTTATATCATTTATGTCGTTTCCTGCGTTATTAGCTGTCTCAGCAGATTTCCTTACCGCAAAGACTTCGGCCTGGAACATGCTGCAGTATTCCGACAGCTGGATGGCTCGCCTGAAATCCAGCTCCGTGCAATAAATATCAGCGCCAAATCCATTAGTAATTTTAGATCGGTCCGTCTAGATGTAGAAAGGTCCTAATAGAGTCCGGAAAATACTTACAGGTTAGGTTAAATTCGATGGTTAAACTTTCAGTTGGCGATTGCACTTGACTAGCTGTTGAGATCCTTTGTCAAGCCAGAAGGAGAACGCCTGTAATCTTATCAGCTGAGAAGCGCTTTGGCGCCATAACAAGCCTGTTTTATCTTTGTTCCCAGCAGCTCACTGGGATGTCTAAAAGTTTGAGCTCCGAGATGTTTAAAGATGTTTAAGCCTTCATCGCTCAAAGATGGGGTAATCAGAAAGGAAAATTAAGACGCTTCCACCTTGTTCTCTTCCAGACGGCTTTTAAAACTGCCATCCCCCTAGACACTCATAGTGCGATGACCAGTAGGCATCCATATACCAAGAAAAAGACTTACCTTGCTGAGGACGAAGGGCCAATTGGATCTTGGACCAAAATGACCCTGCGACCGAGCAAGAGCTAATCGTAGCGGGGTGTTGGCTAAGCTCTCATGAAGCCTAGCCATCAAATACCTAATAAAAAGCATGAAGAAAGTGAACGCGTGATTAATAACATGGGACGAGTGTAACATGAGTCTGAAAGCCCAAGCAAGAGCTGATGACTAGATATTAAAGGATCTTGGAAGCTCGTGACAATATTAGTCGCATGAATATGTCATTTGCTGATGGCTTTTTAGCCAAATAATCATGTAATGCTGCTCACACATTGAAATCGCGCTTACCATTTGCTCTCTTTTTAACGCCTACCATAAATCGTTTATATCCAATCCATCATACCATATACAGTATTTTACAAATATCTGTCATAAATACCTACAAATGTAATACCGTAATAATAATTAGTGTAACCGACATTCATCACCCACCCAAAAAGCATTTCCATTTACGGCAATTTCAGTGATCCGTTACATTTGCATGTTTTGATGCGCTCGGCGAAAATTGGCGAAATTAATCACAAAATGTTTTGCACCGAAATGAGTTGATGGTAATTGGAATTTCGTTTAACTCGGCAGCAGCAACTGGCGGCGTTTGTTGCTTGTACTGCTGTTGTTGCGGTCGATTCGTTTGCGTCGGTCGTGTAGTGTATCATTGACAGCTAACGGTAACATTTGTCGTCGGTTTGAAACGTGTAATTTCCGAGTTTTGGTTTTTTGGAAAATTTTGACATGCATTCATTGGTACAGGTAAAGAATTGCATTTTAATTGGAAACTATATATGTCGAAAAATGAAAATCAATAATTAAAATGGATATCACACTCGCAGGAACGCATCACATCTTTGTGTGAATATCTAAATAAACGCATTGCTGGTTTGTTCAATTTGTGAGTATTTTCAATGAAGCCTTACGGACATGGGTTGTTACAGGTATTTAATAATTTCATATGGAAAAAATTTTCCCCACATGACGCGTTAATGAAATATGTAAAGGTGTTGCCAGTGAATAATATAAATTATATTCTAAGTATATCACTCCAACGAATATGAATTCAAAAGTGGTAATGATTCTACCAGATTTTCATATTGGGTCATAACTAGTCGCCGAAGTCCTTTCTTTTAGCATCAACAGCAACTTGCTTTCCCAGCAACCGTTTCTTATACCTTTAATTATTATTATTATTTTTTTTTTTTAATTGACGGTTGAGTAATCGAGACGAACTCTTATAGATCGCGCTCTCTCATTGTTTTACAGAAACATTGTTATATGGGAGTAAAGTTTTCAAATGATCGGATTTAGCGCCTTTCGCGAACGTAGTGTAGTATGATTTCTTATATGTACATACATATATGCGTTTGCATTAAGTTCTACGCTCTTGAACCTCAGGACGAAGCTCTCAGGCTCAGCTCTCATTTAAGAGATTGTTAAAGATATAGAAACTCATTCTTAATAGAAAACTCACAGGAAATTTGTATGACGTATGATCCCAGTAGAGGTACTTTTTTAGTAGCCTTTTTTGGCAGATCACTCGTGAACCGTGTCAAGATGTCAGGATATTTTTGTTTAGTATTGTTTGGGATTTCATTATTGAAAAACTTACGCCTGAACAACATTTGCAAATCATTCAACTTTATTTGGAAAATTCAGGTTCTATAAAGAATACATCGTATTCCGCTTTATGGGCTCAGGAAGATCCGACGTTTCCGAACCAAATTTCAGCGATAATGTCCATTTCGGGCTCAATGGGAATGTAAACAAGTAAAATTGCCGCATTTGGTACAAAGAACAACCTGAGGAGATGCAAGAGTTCCCAATTCAACCAGTGTCAATAGCGCAATCGCTCCATGATGTCGGTGTATTTGATGTCGGAAATTGAAGGTCGAAATGCACGAATGAGTCATTTAAAATTGCAACTCAAGGGATGGATCATCTGATACGTAGCCGCATCCAACTTTTGAAAGAAGTAATCTGCAAAAAATAAGTGCCAAAGAATGTTCTTTCGAATGGTTATAAACAGTTCCTGTTAAATTTGTGGTAGAGAGCCTCGGGATAGATCACCCTTTATATAGAGCTACGTTTAACAAAATGATCGGTATGACGAACCAGTTGAGCGGTAGTCTGTCAGTCCGTCCGTCCATGCAAAAAAAAAAAATTCGAGCAATAATTAATATATTCCTCGAGAAGCATCATTTCAACTTAATTCTGTGGAGTAGTCCTTCTAGAACCTAGTCATACAGTGTGAATGAATAAAAACGGTGAAAAGAACAAAACGGTATCAAGAATCGTTGGACCAATTTACCTTAATATATTTTGGTTACTAAAAATGGTAAAACATAGTTTTAAATTTCTTATGGTTCTTTCATTTTATACAGCATAAATAAGGCACCAGTATTTGGTACAAAATCCTTTGAAAAAATGGTGCTAGAGATGTATGCTTTTCCACATGTAAAATTGTTTAGTAATTTGACCCTAACTTTTCAATCTCTAATTATCGAATATATGACTCTTCATCGCCGAGAAAATCGGTCAATCTATAGGCTGTTTAAATGAAATTTACAGAGTATTTCTTTGTGACAATAATGCATAATAATGACAAAAACTAATAGAATCGGGTCATTGATTCCTCTAGCCCACATATTTCTGATATATAAGTCCAATCTTCCGGTTAGCTTTATACCAAAATGGGTTGATCCTTGCAAATTACGAGAGTTGAAACGGTTACAGCTGAAATTAACTATTTCTTAATAACTTAGTTTGGTTATACTGGCTGTCATGCTAAACATGGACCTGCTACCAACTGTCCCTTATTAATCCTACGTATGGAGGTTCAGTTTAATTTAAGCTCAAGTATTCATTGACACATGACGTCCCTTGAGCTGCGAACCTTATAGATATCTAACTCCAGTTCTAGATATGGTTGAACAAAAGCATAGGAAGGATTTCAGTGCTTCTTTCGCCTATTTCCTTGCATTTTCTGCATGCATTGATGTTACTTATTCCCATCCGGCTCGCATATGATGCCATTAAGTTGTGCCCAGTCATTAGGCCAACAAAGATCGTATGATTAAATATCATATGTGTTTTTCTTCAGGGTTCTTGCCCATGGTATTGGCGATCCTGCATGCCGCTTTCTGCTTGCCTCTAATGACTTTCTATAGCCTAATAGGATGTGAGATTGTTGCCTTAACTGTCGCCAGGCTATCGACATATATGGTATAGGCATTTATTCTTCTTCTGATGTTTCCTGTGTTGTTAATTAACGCATCGTCTTTCCTCACCGCAAAGACTTCCACGGCAGTATTCCGGATACTTTAAGGTTTGTCTAACATTTTGCTGGATTAACTCGGCTACTGTGCATTGATGATATGGTGAATTCAATCGATGTTGTAGAATTTTGTGAAGTTCGTCAAAAATCAGTTGTTTTTGCAGAAACTATTGATGACGCTTGCAAACTGGCATTGCAAGATAATCATATGAACTATTTTGAGATTGAGACAACAATAGACATTAGTGGGACCAAACTATATTCAGAATTACATTAACATTTGACAGTAAAAAAATCTTGTTTACGTTGAATCCCAAAGAATTTTTTATTCCCTCAAAAAATACTCGTGTTGATTAGTCGAGAGAAATTAAAAAAATATATAATAATATATATATATTGGAGAATATTATAAGGAATAATAAAGCGATTTTCGATGATTAATCTTTATGCTCGATCTCATGTAGAGAAATATAAAAGGCAACCTTCGTATTATTTTATGTTTTTTATATTTGAGATAGTTTAACCAAAAATGAACCTCACAGCCCGATAAATTTTTCGAAGGTCTTCTTAAGCATGACATATATAATATCAAGGGAGTAAAATTTTTTTCAAAATGAATCGAAATATGTAAACATTCCAGACGCCATTCACAAATAAAACAACAATTCATCTTCATTAAATCGTTTTATTTTTATTATTGCATAGAAACGCCCAAAAGTGTCGCTTGTAATTGATTGATTATTATTTTAATTATTTAGCATTGGCGAGAGGACGGGCACAGGAAAATTGCGTTAATGCGATCAAACTTCAACTGAATTGTTACGTTCCACAAATACGCTATAGACTCTTTACGTTCTTATATATTTGTATGAATAGTATAATTCTTGTTTTTATTTTTATTTTGGTTTTTGTTTTTATTTTTATTTGTTGTTTGGCAGTTTCAGCATGGAACCGAAAGACTTCGGCATTTGGGTAAATGCTGGTAAATACACAGTTATTCATACGAAAGCTGATTGGATTACGGAAACAAAATTTACTTATGTATGTATATACATATTACTATGCACTACGCATGTATGTATATATTTAGACTTTTTTCGAACATACTGGTATGTGTAAATTTTAGCAAATATATGAACAAGTTATTGTCAATGTGTGCGTCGAGAGGATTTTATTTTAGTTTTATGGCGTACGAATGCATTGCGGCTTTTGTAATTTTTTATGTATGTTTTTTGTTTTTGTTTTAATTTTTTTTTTTTTGTCATTTCCATAATATTTTATTTTTTTGTGATTTTTCGCTAATTAAATTTTGATTTGG